TGTAGACCGACAGCTCCTCATGTAGGCATCTGGGGACCTTAGCTGAGAGCTCTGTCCATTGCTTGTGGCAATAGGTGCTGTGGTGGTGTTATGCAAGCCAAGCTCTACCCATGCTGGAATGTTCCATTTGGAGGGCACAGAGTACGCAATTTCACTCAATATAATTACTTAGTTGTTAAAATGTAATCTATTTGTGCTAATCCGGTAGTTGATTGCCAGGTCTTAAAATCATTCCTTGTGCATTTTATAAAACTGTACATAAACTGTACACCACAAAAATATAATGTTTTGTATTGCTGTAGAAATGTACCAAATCATAATATTCTTCTAAATGACCGGATGATGCAAGATATACTTGCCCTCCCCCCCCCAAACAGATTCTCACTAAGATTCTCATCAATTGTTCAGTGATATTTATCTGTTCACTGGAACCTGAAGACTGGGGAAGCGTGTCATTGAACATAAGAACAGGTTGCTGCTGTCAGGAAAAGTGCTGTTTAAGCTAAAAGGGGCGACTTCTAACCAAAGTCTCCTGTGAGGAACAAACATTTTTTTTTCTTTCATCAGATGGCCTTTTCTTGGCTGGAGAGATTGGAAAACAAGCCTTTCTTACCACACACAAAATGGTGGCCGTCAAAATTTGTAGGGTCAGGAGGTGGAAGCAAGGTGCCCAAGACTCATGTAAGAAAAATAGCTATTAGTAAAACTAATGAACAACATAGACAACTCGAAACAAGTCTTTTTCTGGCAGTCAGCTGCATATTGGTGCGGGGGATGGGCCTTTTGTGCTTTGACATGCATGGAATACCACTTAAGCGGAGCAGCCAGGGTGATTAACTGTAAACACTGGGCAGTTCCTAACAGTTCTCAGTTGTGATCAAATCTGATTAAGAGCATAGAACTTCTGTGTCCAAGATAAACTGCATCCAGATATGCTTTATCAATCAATCACAGTAAAGCTCAACTGGTTAAAAAGAAGCAATCACTTCTGAAAGAGTTTTGCTAGTTTCTATAATGATGATGTGATTAATCGAATAACAAAAATATGTCCCAGCTTCATTTGTTGAATATTGTACCAAGTTGTAAAATTTCATTTTCAATTTACCTCTCGTTTTGATAAAATGTTTTGTTTACCTAAATAAATAAAAAAGTAATATAAATCTGAAAATAAAATATAAACATATAAATAAATGCTGAGTTAAAATTCTGGCTAACCCCGGTATAAAATGTATTTTATGTATTTGATATATAGAACAGGAATGCCAGCATAGTATTACAAAACAAATCACTCGTTGCATGGGTTTGGCTTGTGTACCAATAACGAATTAGTATGTCGTTATTTTTATTTAAAAATGAAATGGGGTCTTCCGATATTTAGTTGTGCATATAACAGAAAATGATAACACAGAATTAAATGACAAATTCAGAATTTGTTTCCATACGTACGAATCCGAATAGCCTTGATATAGGCCTAAAGTATTTTCGTTTTGTGACTCATAAATACGTTCATTTTGTTTTGAACTGAATGGTCACCGTCTCCACTTGCTAGCAGTACAGGCGAGTTCCCAGAAAGCAGATTAACCAGCAGGCAGAAAGAGCCAAACAGACATTCACTTCACGACAGCAGCGTATTACAGAACAGCGTCCATCCGACTCACGACTGCCGTTCTTCTAATTTTATAACAAAGGGTGCTTGCTGTATAACATCGTGATTGTGAGACCAGGTATAAGTCAATCCCATAGACATAGATATGACTAATCACAGTACAAATCGTGGGTAATCTTTTCTTTTTTTAGTTAGTGGAGTAATTCACTTAAAGTTAATAAAGTTGAAGTTAAATATTATTGCTTACTTTGATAATCATATATGATTGATTTCTCAGAAGGCAACTCTTACTATTTTAAAGGCTGCCAAAGAGGAAATGTTAATCTCTTGGTAGAAACCCAGATACTTCCTGAAGCACGAGTCAAAACTAAATGGAAACAAGCATTACTCAGTTCTACTGCTTTGTGAAGTTACATGCACTTACTAACAGAAAGTAAGGTGACACTTTGCTGTGCTATTGTTCATTTGACCATAAAAGCGCTATAAAGACGAGTCGTTTAAGACAAAGTTCCTCTTCCACATTTTATTCTTACTAATACTGCCAGAGATGTAAAGACGTAAAGTCAGTTTGGAATGAACCTCCAAAACAAATATAAATGTCAACAAAGCACATGCGTCTTAGAAAGGAGCTACTCGGGCACATGCATTAGGTAGCTTTTAAGGAGTTGGACGTGGATGATGTTGGGAAGCCCCACATGTAACTGCAAGAAGCACAGTTCCCGGCCCCTCCCCCATTCCCCCATGGGGTGCTAAGGGAGCAGTGCCGTGTACATGTAAACGGCATCAGCTGCCCCATTCTCAAGATAGTTTCCTGCTGTTTTAAAACTAGCAATATGTATTATTAAAGAGGGACAAGACAGTGAGGTTTAATACTATAAGCTATAATTATAAACAGGTAGCATTTACTAAGCCTTTGTTGAAATAACAGCACAAGATTAGGTTTTCTTTAATAGTGAGTTGTACACCAAGTTATGTGTTAATCGAGTCATTTTTGAGGTTTTCTCTATAACGTTGCATTTTCTTCACTTGCAATTCGTGGGCAGTTCACTCTATATATAATCTGCTATATGTATTCTGCTATATATAATATATACACACAATATCTTATGCATTATACATAGATTAGATAACGTTAACCAGTATGACCTATATCTATGAATAACAGCAACACAAAATTATTGCACTTCGTCAGTTTATGTATAGTGAAGAAATGCCAACCAGTGTCTCCCAAACTTTATACAAACACGACTATTGTGTGTCAGGTGTATGTTCTGTTACTCCACCTCATTCTACTCAAAAAGAAGCGTAGAAATGAAACAGACGAAAGAATAATGGAATAATTAAGCACCGGTGAACAAGTTGCGTACACGTGATCACCCCGCAGCGCTGGATGTGCACGCGCCGCGACGGTCGTTGGCTGGGGAGTGCGCGCCTAGGAGTGCAACAGCTGCATAGTGTGAGATTTACAAACACTGAGTCGCTAACGCTAGCTAGCTACAAGTTGGCTAAAGTATATATCAGGAGAGAAGAAGGGAAAAAGTTTGTTGTTTTACTTTAAGAGAAGTGAGAGAGCTATTCGTGTTCGTTTAGGGCGTGCTCGATGTGGTCTGTTAAAATGCTGGTGGGTATCGGTAAGTGCTTTTCTTTATGTGGTTTGTGAGCCATTCTTCTATCAGTAGCTAGCTTAGCTAACAGGCGAGCGGTGCATCCTCGCGAGGCGCAGCACCTTGTTTGTAACTTTCTGCCGCGCGCTTCTTCATTCACTCTTGCGAGCGGAACGTGCGGCGCCGGCGAGCCTCGGTTCACGCGCAAACCGAATACTGCGCATCATTTTAACGAATAAATCAATTATACATATGACAGGAGGGCAATACCGACGAATCATGCCATTATACATTATTGAGCAAACTACTGTAATATGCTGGTAACAAAGCAGCCTTGTATTGTACATTAGTTCATATGACTTGGCTTATATTCCCCATATAGCCACCACTACCTATTAGCTTAAGTGGGTCATAAGTATTATAACGAGTAGTTCGGACGGAAGCTGACATACGGAAATAGTTGGCTAGCTGGTTTACTGATAGATGAACTAACTCCTGCTGTACTGGGAGCATCTGAAGAGCCGCTATAGCCATTATCTTCTGAGTTTCACTAGTTAGAGGCGGGTTCCCGGAGTCTTCATTTGATTTTGGAACATAATGGGTAATTAGTTTTTCTTTATACTGAGAAATTATTCTATATTATATATTCTTCCTTCACCAAAACTGTATATGAACTTTAAAATTTAAAACTTAAAAATGGCTTAATTGATAACTTTCAGTTAAAGGTCGTCGAATGTATTTTTTCCACAAATATGATAATTATATGCACTTATATTCCCAATGCATACATGTTTATATATGTATTCATATATTACACATGAAAAGTATGAGTGTGATTCTTGTCAATATGACTCATTATGTACTGACTTGTACAGCAGTCCTGCAGAAATTAAAGTAAAAGCTTAAACACGTGTCAGGAAATGAGCGATATTTCACTGGCTGGCAGAAAACAGTGGGATCCTGTCCTTGAGGGACTCGCAGCTCCCTGGCGGTCATGTTTCTAGGCGAAGGAGAAGCGTCTTTCTTTCACATCGGCTCGAAAATCTCCATGTCATAACGCTCCATTTCCTACTACATATTCGGGTGAAGCGTAATGTTCGGCGTGGCGAAGCGAGTTACACTGCAAGCCCGTTTTAAAAGTAGAACGACGGCAGGTAAACGCTCGCCGAGTAATGAATGAGTGCTTTCTGGTATCTAAAAGTCTACTAAAAGCCATCAGAGCACGAATAACAATAGTAACAGCGTAAGCATCCACGCAATCAGCCCGTATGGGTGTGTTGAGGATCCCTTAGATTTGGGCTCCCTGGCCGCGTCAAGAATAACAGGTTTTATGTGTCATGCACTTTCTACATATACTATAATAACACAAAATAATCTTTTCGATTGAATAATTTGCCTAGGCGGAATGAAGGGTGAGTCCGTTTGATTTTAAAGTTCATATCAAGCTGCTGCGGATTGTTTGGAAAAAAACACCACGTTGGGCTTTAAGACGTTTAACTATCTTTACGAGAAGTACGAGAAGTTTGCGGTTAAACGGTAGGGGTGTCATCTATGCGCGAATGGCGAACTTCGCTCCCTGCTCTGTTTTCCTGCATTATTCACATTGTATGACTTTCTTTTCTTCCTTCCTTAGTTGAATTAGCACCTGGTGGAGCATTTGATCTTTTTTTTTCCGGCGTGTGGGATTTTTAAAAGTCATTTGGCCGCATAGTATGCTGTGCATAACGAGTCTCTCTCTCTCTCTCTCGCTCTCTCTCTCTCTCTCTCTCTCTCTTTCTCGGATCATGCTCGAAAGCTTCAGATGATTTTTGCCAGAATGTAACAAGCCGTTGTTCTTTTGTATGGGTCCCAGGCGATTCATGGAGAGCCCTGCAACAAAAGAATTAGGGGAAGCAACAGCTGGCCCCTAGACCTGCTTGCAGCAGAAACCAGTGTCTTGGGATTACACTAGTTTTCAGTTGCTTCTGTATTAGCCAGGGTGTATTTTTCTGCTTCCTATGATAATACTGATTAGTGATCTTAAAAAGTAGGAGTGTAGTTTTTGAAGTGAAATATTTAGATGGAAAATTAAAAAAAAAAAATCTCCAGGAAGATTATTGCTGTGTTCTTGCTGACGTTTGTGAAAGCAGAATTCTGGCCTCCATGTGTTGGTGATAATCTGGTAAACTTTAGCGGAAGGTGGGATGGATACTGGAGCTTCTCATATAGGGCTGGCGGGCTGCCAGATTAAGGGCGAAAGCAGAGAGAAACTTGTTTTACTTGATCCCTGGGCAGACACCTAACGGGCAGGCAGTAAACATGCTTGTCATTCATTTGTGGGGAGGATTGGAAAAATAGGTTTTGAAATGACTGTTACTGGCTTTGTCTGAGTGTTTGATATGCCCACAGCATGGTATGTGGATTATTTGATCCTGTATGAAGTGTTAAAAGCACAGAGTTTTTCAAAGTAAAACATAACTTTTATAAAAATGGAATATTTCAGTCACAAGCAATATGTGTGGTTTGATTCTTGGTAGTTGTTTTTTTTTCATATCAGAAGTATTCTGCAGCTTATTTCTGTTTGAGGACGTTGCAGTCCTTGACAAGCTCGATGAGGAATGCCATTTTGGAGTGTGTATTGTCAGCACTTGTGTTAAACTGCAGGATAAAGGCTTGGGATAAAAATGGAAGCTGCATTCTCTGCTTGTAGACGTTCTGTCTTTCACTTTCTTTTTTTATGTAGTGTTGTGTGTGTAGCTGTTGGTGTAGTTCTGCTTTGTGAAGATGGCGCTGAGGAAGTTTTGTTAAAATGGGAATGTTGCCCTTTTTTATAGAGAATAGCTCCTTTGAATAAAACTTTCCCTCTGGTGGGGGAATTTTTATCCAGTAGAATTGAAACCTTAGTCAGGATATTTGTGTCTTTTTCTGTATCTGATTTTTTTTAGGCGGTGCGATATCTGACTTGAAAACGTCTCGCTGCGCATTTTAGGTTATCCCGTTCGGATGTCTGGGTGCAGGAATGAAGTAGCCTCTCTGTTGTGGTCTTCAGTCAGAAACAGATGTTTGTGGCCTTGTCAAACTGCAAATGTGGTTTGCAGGATTTTTGTCTCTAGATTTAGCAGTAGTTTGGTGGAACAGTTATGTAAAAACTCATTGCCTTGATAGAAATGTGGTGAGAAGGTTTCCTAGCTTTCATATCTCTTTTGCCTGCTCTTCTCCAGAAGGTGTAGGATTAAGTCTCTCAGATCAAACACAATGCAGCACAGAAGCCAGAAAAGCAGAAATGAAGCCCATTGTCTTGACAATTGACTTTTTAAATGAGGCAGCTGTAAATAAGGTCTCTTATAAGGTTTGTTTTTGCCATTAGCAGAAATCCGCCTCTTCTGGGCCTGTCAATGTCCAATTTTACTTCCACAGTGACTTTATGGTACTGGTTTAATGATGGTATTTCGTATTTTGCTTTAGCAAGTTGTTAATTCAGTGTTTTTGTGTTTGTAGTTCATGCTGTATTTAAAATTTTTATTCCCTGTAGTTTATTCCCAATAGTTTATTCATATTTCTTATGCCAAAACTGAATAGGTCATAAATGTGGCGTTTTACAGACAGGCTTCTGGTGTTGGGACTTGCTTGATTTATTTGGTTGCATTGCTCATTGTATGTCCCTTTGTTTGGCCTGCAGTGTTGGTGTCTTTTCTTTGGTTTAAAGAAACTTCTCATCTGAGCAGATGACCTACGTCGTTCCCCTTGTAGTGTCGTTTCACTCTGTAGTACGCAAGTTAGTCGCTCGACCCGACGCCAGGGGAAGTGTGACGTTAGATCAGTCGTGCTAAACTTGACGTTTATGCTGCATGGATTCCTTATACCTGCAAAAGAATGGGCAGTATCACAAGACGGTTCAGTTTTGTGATGCTTTGCATTAAGGAAATCTGTTAAACCTGTTGAATATTATTTCCTGTTCCATTTAAAGTGTGTGTGTAGGTGATACTGGTAGTGTCCAGTTTCTTTTCTCCAGATGTATGGAGATGAATGCATTGCAGGACCTAAACTCATGCCTTTTTTCCCCCCTCCCTTTTTTATTTCTTTACAGGTACCACGTGTGACAAGCTATTGCTGACTGTGTCAAGATAAGAATCTGTCAGGCCAGACTCTGGTATAACTAATAGTCAAGCCTCGACTTTCTCGCGGGGGACTCGCGGAATTTCTCATGGCCGTTTGTGAAGTTTTTGGCGGCGGTTTTTGGCGTTATATATTGGGGCTCCGGTGATGTGCAGCAGGAAGCCAAAAGGATTTTTGAAAATTACTTTTCCGGCCAGTTTTCCCCTCTTGTTGTCCGCAAGGTCAAAATCAATTGCTTAATTTTTTGGGTCTTTTTTTCTGAGGCTTCCGAATTGCATTTGAGACAATTATTGCTTCTGTTCTCTGTGAGCCATGCCCACTCACCCACTGATATCGTACATAGAGAGTCCCGACGGACTGGGACAGGACCTTCTAAACGATGCCAACGCCAACATGCCCGGCATGGGCTCCAGCATGACGCCGCACGGCACCGTTGCCGAGAAGCCCGCCGACGGCAGCCAGACGGCCGACTGCATGTTCTGCGACCGGACATTCCAGCACCAGGATGAGCTGAGTCCGCATGTGCTCACCCAGCATCCCACCACGTTGTTTGGGCCAGCCGTGCTGCGCGTGGAGGCGGAGTTCTTGAGCCCCAGCGAGCGGATCCGACCTCCGGCGGCGGAGGCGGACGACGACCTCAGCTGCGTGGTGTGCGGCCAGTCCGTGCAGGACGCCAGCGAACTTGAGGCCCACATGAGGAAGCACAGGGACTCCTTCACCTATAGCTGTGGCCTATGTGGCAGGCGGTTCCGGGAACCCTGGTTCCTCAAGAACCACATGAGGACTCACGGTGGCAAGGCTGGCGCCAGGAACAAGGTGCAGCAGGACCTGGAGAGCCCTGCCACCATCAACCACGTGGTGGTGGACCAGGCAGCCGTGCCAACCGTCAGCTCCCCGTATCGCATGTGCATGGTCTGCGGCTTCTTCTTCCCCAATAAGGACGTCCTGGCAGAGCACAGCAAGGTGCACAACCGAGACTCAGACCCCAACGAAGACGAGGGCGCGTGCAAGGAGCCTTGCATTTCGCAGGAGGCCTCGCTCTCCCAGCAGTCCTTCCTGAAGCTCCTGGGGCTCCGTCCGCCGCCGGTGTCAAACACGAGGGCCCGTTCGGAGAGGCCCGCCAGGTGGATCGCCGAGCTGGACCCCTTTAACACCTACCAGGCCTGGCAACTGGCCACGAAGGGCAAGATCGCCGTGGGGCCGGGGTTGGCCAAGGATCTGGGTCCCGATGCCGGCTCCGACGTCGAGGATTCCGGCTCGGACAAGGAGGAGCTGGGAGAGATCTGGTCCGGGGGCCGTAGCAGCAAGTCCAAGGACGGCTTCAAGCGCGAGCTGAGGTCGAAGCGCTTCGGTGGGGGGACCCCGTCGCCAGAGCCAGACCCCAAGTCGTTGGCCAAAGAGAAGCCGACCCGGTGTAAAGACTGTGGCAAGACATTTCGAACCTACCACCAGCTGGTTTTGCACTCCAGGGTGCACAAGAAAGACAGGGGCGGTGCCGAGAGCCCCACCACGTCTGTGGATGGCAAGCAGGGCGCTCAGCTGGACCGTGCCGAGGAGGCCTCGGAGGACGGCTCGGAGGAGGGAGGGCCAGCTGACGCCTGTCAGTCAGGTAAGGGCCTTGGCCTCCACAAACCCCGCAGTGTCAGTCTCACCCAGAGGGACGAGGGCCAGACCTCAGCACCCTGCGGTCCGTGGGCCAGTGTCCCCTTTATGTGTCTCTAGTAGCTTTGCATAGAGAACCGACTGTGCTGTATTTTGAAAAGCTGCCGTGCTTTTCCAGATTAATTCAGTTTTAAATGACTAAATTGGCCCTTTAACTGAAAAGCCTATAAAATTAATGTAGCTCAGGGGGATAAATGATTCACTGTGTTAGTAGGTTTGTAATTAGTTGTCCTGTATTTCATATATCTTTTATGTATGTAACTGAGTGCTATACCCTTCCTGTGCTGCATTCTGCTTAAATGCAGTGGATGCTTTGCCCTGATTTTCTTTCGTTAACAGGCTTCTGCCCTAAGCCAAGTAGCTGGGGCTGTGCTCAGCGAAACCAGTGTTTCTATCCAGTGAAAGATCAGAGTCCAAGCAGCAGCAGCTGCATTAAGTTGGGGGGGGTGGGTCCTGTTATAGGGGATGGAAGTTTTCATTGGCTCAGAGTCGAATGACCGCATGGTTAATCTGCAGAATAAACCATTTTGAACATTCTCTGGATTGTTTCTCTGCCGTGTAAATGAAAAAGAAGCTCTTCATTACACATGATGTTAATCATGCTTATCAATAAGTTATTGCTTGTCATAGCAAAAAAAAAAATGTTGAAAGAATTAAAAAGAGCATGATTCAGTGGAATATGAAATGAGGAACTTGGGAGAGAATAAGAGAATAGTCTAAAAATGAAACGTGTTTTTAAGGTAATTTTTGCAGCTAAGCAAGAAGGAAGTGTGTAGAAGGTTGGAAAAGATGTTCTTCCCCAGATGTTGTTTCTGTGTTTTTTTCTTTTTCTTCTCCAGTGCATTAGGCTGCCATTAAGGCCGAGCTGCTCATATTGTAAAGAGTAGCAAACAAGCTAATTTTGGCTGCCTCTTGCAGATACACTGTGAAAATGTCACATGATAAACCACGACCTGTTAAAAAAGGAAAAAAAAAGTATTCTAAAAGACAGTCTCACTGCCTCTCTTTCTTAAAATAGATGAAGCCATCATTAGCATTTGGATAATGTTGTTTTATTCCCTCCCCTGCTAATTTGATCTTTTTTTAAAAAGAACTAGTAGGATGAAAGTCTGTCATGATTCCTTGCATCCACTTTTCTGTGTTTGAACTCCCTCTACTGGTTAAATCATGGAATAACTACTGAAAGAAACTGACTCTAGTGGCAACTTTGTTGTAAAAATATAACCTTTGCCTCTCTGTGTACCACAGATAAAAGTGAAGATGGCTTTGACCCATCAAAGCTGAAGATTCTCGCACCCTTAAAGGAATGCAGTTACTGTGGAAAGTCTTTCCGTTCCAATTATTACCTCAATATTCACCTCAGGACGCATACAGGTTAATCTCACTATTACTTGAGGATGGGTGTTTTTTCAGAAGACGGTCCTGGGTCTTCAGGCCTGTTCTTCTGAATGTTTCTTAGCATACTTTGTTTACTAATGGCTTTAACACGGCTGTTCCAGCAGTTAGTCTGTTTTAAATGCTAAGTTATAGTTATATGTAATGCAACAAAAAATGAGGGAAGGTGAAAATGTCGAATGTGTTTAAGTGATTTATTTATTTATTTCCCCCCCACCCCTACGGGTTTTACTGTTTACTACCGGACCTTCTCTCTCATTGGCATTTGTGGTGTTTCAGACAGGTAGAATGTGTAATTTGTGACTCTTCTAAAATATCCCCATTTTACTTTGTAGAACATAGCATCTATCAGGGGCTGTACTGCTATTTCAAGCTGTTCCTGTTTTTGCAGGATGTTAGCCGTCTGTCCGTAATTTGCCTTATTTGCCGTGGTAAAGTCTTTACCTGGCAGTTCTTGAATTTTTGAAGCTTAAAATTGAGATCCTTAAAATGTTTTGCCCTTTGAAAATTTGAAGCAATAGCTGATTGGCTGCTGAAATTACTCTGTTTGGTCCAAGGCTGGATTGGGATTAAGAATTGGCTGTGGACTTTTAACCAGGCAGGCCCTCCAGACAGACAAGCCAGTAAATTTTGCTGAGCAGGGGAGGGTTCGAGGGAGGGATCGGGGGGGAGGGGGTGTAAAGGTTGCTGGAATGCCAGAAGGCCAGGCCAAGCCCGGTTCAGCCTGTCCAGTTTGTCTGACACCCGCTTTTACCGTCTGTTTCCTGCAGGTGAGAAACCTTACAAATGTGAACACTGCGATTACGCCGCGGCTCAGAAAACCTCCCTGCGATATCACCAAGACCGACGCCACAAGGACGTGCCCGAAACGGGGCCGTCTGTCAAATCCGTGTCGCCGTCTCCCACTCCCGAGGACTCCAAGGAAAAGGTGTGCTCCACGTTGGCTGGAAGCACTGAGGGCGCACAGAGGAACAATGGCGCCCCCTGCCTGGGAGGGGTGAGTGAAGCGGACGAGAAGGGGCCGAGCGACCCGGAGAAGGCGAGTACGGGGGCCGCCAACAGCGCCGCCTGCCGCGCCTCTCCCAAGGAGGAGGAAGCATCGGGCGTCGACCAGGAATGCGTAGAGTCGCCCTTAAACCTGTCCGTCAAGATGTCGCTTTCCGTCGCCATGGTGACGTTGCCGAGGAGCTCATTGGTCACCAGTGCCTGTCCCCTTTGCACCTTTAAGACCCTCTACCCAGAAGTCTTGCTGATGCACAAGGCACTCAGTCATAAGGAGAATGGGGATGCGGCCAAGAAGAGGCGCCCCCGCTTGTCATTGGCAGCCATCAAGCTGAGGCGCCACACAGGCTGTCCCCCCGCCCTGGAGGGCAAAGACGTCGCCCCGCTGCAGTCCCCCTACAGCAGGCACCCCCGCCGGACTAAATCCCCTCCCCCTCAGTCCGGCAAGCCCGCCGAGAAGCCGCCGCCCCCCCCCAGCCAGCATCCGCTGCCCTCCCAGGCCATCAGGCCCTCGCTGTCGGCGGAGCCCCGCCGTCCCACCCAGCCCAATCCGCATCTTGGGGCCCGGCCAGAGATCACCAGGTTACCGGAGCGGCACCCGGAACCGAATGGCAACTACCGACGGGACGGCGTCGCCGTGGGCGCCAGGCCGAGCCCCCCGGATCACAACGGGCCTGGACAGAAGGCCCGGCAAGCCCGGAACAGCGCCGTCTGGCCCGCGGACACCATGCGCTCGTGCTTGTCCGCTCGCTTCGGCAGCCTCTCGCAGATGGACTTCGGGGAGCCGCACACCAAGAGGCGGAAGTTTTCCGGCACCACGGTGCGGGATCCGGAAGCCGGCGAGGCCTGGCAGGGTGACATCCATGGCCGACTGCTGCCCCCAGGGAAGAATAGTAACATCAGAGCCCCAGCGCCCAGGAGCCCCGCCTCTAAAATGCCTCAGTCCTTGGCCCCTGCCAAATCGACCTCCACACCAGCGGGAGACATGGACTGGAACGTGATCAACATCCTGAGGTCGTACAGCCCCAGCGACCTGGCTTCCCTCTACCATCCTGTCGTGGCCGGGTCCAGCCATGGGGGTGTCCTCTCCTCCACAGCAGGTGAGCGCGTCCCGCTAATTTAACCCGTCGCTGGGCTCTCCTCTGCTGGGTGTCTCGGTGTCCAGACTCCACTCGCCTCGGGCCACGCAAGCAAGCTGCTGCTGGACTCTGTCGCTAAGAAATAGGCTTATTTAGGCCAGGATGGGTGTCGTATCTCTCTTCCTCATTATAATCGGGGGTTTTGATTTGAGCAAGGTGTTCAATGTTCCAAGCCCGCTCAGTGCATACAGTTACTCAATTTATTTCAAAAATATTAATTTATTAATATTTGGATCCATGAACCTAGTGAACTGTCCAAAAATAGCATGTTGCAAATTCTATTGTAATAAGAATAGTCATTTGACAACAAAAGTATGTACTTTAAACTTTATATTTATAGTATATAAGTGAAATTTGTGTGTGTGTGTGTGTGTGTGTGTGTGTGTGTAAGGAAATAAGTAAATGGGGGTGGAAAGCTAAGGACAAGTTTAAGCTTAGTTAAAAATCCCTGCAATCCTCTCAGATAAGCGCTAGAAAAAATGTCACATTGGCAACAAATATAATGCTTCGTTTTGAGCAGTCCCTGGTTCCACTAGACCCGTCTCTGCCAAAACAGAGATTGTTATACTGGTGGTACCTGACTCTCAGAATATTTACTGAAATGGCTTTTTGAATTGGATTTAGAACGAAACCCCAGTTTTACAAGGCAGTTTTTGTGATGGCTCGGTGTTTAAACAAGCCTGAAGTTGCAGTCTAAATAGTCCTGTCTTAAAGGCATTCATCACAGAAATAATTTGTGTGACTTCTGGGTTTGTTGCAGCACTAAAACCTCTGGGTATGGCCCAGTAAAGAATTATAATGGAGCAAAAATTAGTGGTGTATTCTGGTCCATCTTAATAGCGGGAGATTAGCATGTTATGTTGTGCAGACTTTACTGTTGGCCAAAGTTTTGTTGTAAGTAAATTGATAGGCTGTGTAGTGTCTGTCAAGTAATAAATGGTAATTTATTACATGGTAATTTATTACAGCAAAACATTGTAGAAGAAGAAGAAGCTTTATTTGTCATTGCATAAAATACATGGTATCAAACACAGCAAAATTAATGGTTTGCTGTAATTGCTTAAGCTTTTATCAGCTTAGGTATCTGAAAGCTGACTGGTTTAAAATATGATAGCTGGTTGGGTATCTGTTCTCTGTAGTACTCTGGAGTGTTTGGGATTTACTAATGTCTGCCACTAACGTTACAGCATAATGTTTCTTGAGTATTTTAGCATATTTTCCACAGTATCTCCATTATATATACAGATTGCTAACAGTGTGGTTAAAGTGGAGCTGCTTAGTTTTGCTTTTCCGGCCGCTGCAGACTTGAGATTTTTAAAGAAAGGCATCACACGCACCAAATGAAAATGAGGTTAGTAATGAGGTTATTTCCTAAACTAATCTTTTTTGTGACACTGCGTAGCCTAAGAGCAATTTGACGCTGGTGAATATCTATACTGGGATCCTTAATAGAAGAGACTCGACACTGCCCATTGGAAAGATGTTTGTTTTGCGTTTGTGTGTGAATGCAGCCTTTCAGGTGTGATCGGCTTGTTCACCGGCCAGATTCGCCAGGCCCTTCAGGATCTTACTGAACATTTATAAACGGCGCAGCGTAGTGAAGCCCAGAGCTTTGCACACCCACTTATCGCCTGACTCTGTAACTTTGGGGCTTTTCCATTTCCTCCCCAGAAAAATCAGTGTAGTGACCTTTGCTCTGCGCGCAAATTATTCTACATCATAGAGCCATCTCTGAGTACAGATCAGCAGCTCCGCTCGCTGAAGGCTAAGGGGCTCGTCCCTGGCCCAGAAACTGGCACCCGGCCCAGGGTGACCCGCCATTACTGTAACCGTCTGCCCCCCCTCCCCCAGCAGACTCTCCAGACACATTTTTTTTGATATGGTTTTTTCTTTTTCCTTTCCCACAGCAGCCGACTGCAGACCCCGTTCATTCGCGTTTCCTTTCATGTTTTCCTCTTTGTACGTTTCCGTTGCGCCTTGCGTCTCTACATTGTGGCCACGTGGCCACACTTGGCTGTTATGAGAATGGCGCCACACTGTGGCCACGGTGCTCACACTCGGCTGTTATGAGAATGGCGCCACACTGTGGCCACACTCGGCTGTTATGAGAATGGCACGCCACGTGATTCGGCAGGAATCAAATATGTTCTTCATATTTTACCTGGAAGCTTTATACAATGTATTATTTAGGGAGCGATTACAATATGCAAGCACAGGTAGTTGTTTTTTAAAAGTCTAATAAAAGATGCATCTTAAGGTAGTAAGGCACTCTTAAGCTGAGGCAGCGGTGGGAGGCTTGCAAAACTACAGCTGTTGACTCAGGCCGCCCGTGTCGGTGCTGATGAGCCAATGTGTTCGGGGTCAACAGCCAGTCCAAAGTAACCCACCCAGCGCCTTGTGCAGGGCTGCTCGCCGCAGCACCTCATGTTTCTGTGGTTTTTGTCACTTGGTGGTGTGTGTGTGTGTGTGTGTGTGTGTGTGTGTGTGTGTGTGTGTG